CGTTGGATAATACTCTTATTTCAATGTGGAAATGGAATCTATCAAGAATCACTGGTTCGATCACGCTTAATTGTCGATGCATATTTTAGGTTTTTGGATTTTGGGTTGCGAGTGAGGATAAAGAGAGCTGGTGGAAACTTTATCAATCGCCATTGTAGGTTTCATCGTTTTCGATAGGGAACAAAAGCAAGGAGCTCTCGGTAATATATTTGGTCAGTACTTTCACATTACTTAAATCTTACTAAAATGATTTTGAAGTTATGAATCTTGACTGTTAGTATTAGAGAAACATCTCCGATTGCAAAAACAAAACGTTTCGCCTAAATTTTGCCTTACATTGCTGTTTTAATGCTAAAATTAAACACAGAAAGCACCTCTTTATTCAAGACTTTTCAAAGTTCATTTGTTTTTTCAAGCATAGTGTCATTCAATTTGTTCTACAAGGTCTCATGAAGCAATCAAAAGATCCTTTTGAAGTAGCATTTGAGGAACTAGATGAATCCCTTCCTGATTCCCCTGACACTCATGATGAGATTATGGCTCAAACTCTATCATCAAAACCAAATATCAACTCCCAAAGAGATGATTTGGAAAACAGCATTCATCCTTTAAACCAATCAAAATCAAGAGTCAGATTGGCCTCAACTTCAGCAGCCATCCCAACCAATCAGAAGAACAAAGAAGATGATGAGGAAGAAGAAGAGGAAAACATGGATGTTGAACTTGGAAAATTCCCATCTACAGGAGACCCAGACAAAATGGCCAAGATGCAGTAAGTTTACATATGTCCTTCAAAATCACTTTTAACATCAGAAATAATAATATAATTTTGTCTACATGTTCTAGATCAATATTATCTCAGTTCACTGAGGAACAAATGAGTAGGTATGAATCTTTCAGAAGATCTGGATTTCAGAAATCAAACATGAAAAGGGTATTTCTCTTTTTCTCTCTAATTGAAAAAATGAGTATGAACGAATGAAGCCTAATAATCCTTCTTTATGTAGTTATTAGCCAGCATTACTGGAAGTGCCAAGATTTCAATGCCAATGACTATTGTTGTATCCGGGATAGCAAAGATTTTTGTTGGTGAGCTTGTTGAGACAGGTACACTGTATACTGCGTTTGACATGCATTGGACAAGGATTGAGACTGATGTCAGCGAGACAAAAGTTGCAATCTTTTGTGCAAATGACGTGATTGCCCTTGTTGTCGTTGATGATTCTAAATAAAAAATGAAGGAATTTCAATTTGTTATATTGCAGCGAGGGTAGTGATGACAGAGAGAAAGGAGACAGGACCAATAAGGCCGTGTCATATTCGGGAAGCGTACAGAAGGTTAAAACTTGAAGGAAAGATTCCAAAAAGATCGGTGCCAAGGCTTTTTCATTAGTCATATATGTTTTAGGCTTTTTTTTTTTTTTTTTTGCATTCTAAACATGTGTTTGATGATTTTGATCTGTTTTTCATCAAGGCAATTTTTGGGGTAGAGTATGATTCAAATTTGTGTTGTTTGATGTTTTAATGTTTTTTTTTATGGTTTTAATTTGTGGGGGTTGATTATAGTTGAGGGTTAGGAATGTAGATATACAAATGAGTCTTGTTATTTTGATTTTGAAATTATTTTATATAGGGTAGGAAATTATGTGCACATATTTTATAATGTTGTGACATTGTCTTTCAAAATTGTAGTTGTGAAATTAAGGGCTTTTTAGAAGGGTCACGATCTATCAAAAGAATTGAAATTTGAGGGAATTGGAATCCAAACGAAATTTTGAATTTCTGATGTGATGGACTAAAATACCCTTCAAATATTTAATTATGCTAAAGGACCAAAACACCCTTCAAATATTTAATTATGCTAAAGGACCAAAACACCCTTCAAATATTTAAGTAGTTTTCAAACCCTGTTAATAAAATCTCATTATACTTTACTTTTGAGTTAAACTTTATAGTTTGACGAATTGCGAACAAAAAAAAACACACGTAAACATTATGTTCTGACTACTGAGTAGACTATCTAGTATTTTTTATTAAAAAAAAATGAAAGGAAAAAAAGTAAATTTTTTTTTTGAAAAATTGAATTAAAATTAAAATAATCAATCAAAAAACAAGGTATATCGCAAGAACATCGTAAACGAATATGATTTTTTTCCCTAAATGAGCATTGTTTTGTCTTTTATAAATACAGAATGACAGATTTCTCCTTTTAATAAGAGTAGATTGAATTGTTTGGCCCTACCAATAGGAATGATAAAATCCGTTGAATATGGAATGTAGAGGAATTGTATGTAATCCCATTGTTATTGAAGGAATCCTCTCTTCAAATTCCTGCAAATTCTTTAGAATCCGTGAAATAAGTGTCATAACATGACACTATTTACTCAATATTTATAGTCTCATCAACTCATAAAACCATTCACACAGTACAATATCAATGCTCTTTCACGATATGTCCCGTTAGCTTTTGTAATTATCTCTATATTAATGTTGTGAACTAACAAGTGTTTCATATTATTATTAAATAAGAAATACAAATACAATAAAAGAGAAAAGACATAATTGATAGACTAACTAATGGGCCACCATAATACTCAATACAAAATAAAGCCCAAAATGTTATCAGGCTAACAAATATAATATCAAATCTCTTTCAAAAGTGATTCTAAATGTACCAATTTTCAAATGCCTCCTAGTTTCACTTTGGTCCGCCAAATTTTCAAATGCCATTGTATCTTAATCATATAATCATATCCTTTTGCTAAAAAATACTAAGGTTTCTTGATTTCCAGAGTTTTCAACTCGTCCACATTTAGTGCGGAGTAACCACACAATAATAAAAACACCACACAAACGAAGAGGAATAATCAGTGGATGACACAAGATGACATATCGTTTTATAGCTTATGGCTCAACATAAGCAAAGACGCGACAATTAGTACTAATCAACATATGTCAAACTTTATATGCGACTATTATGATATATATCACAACGCTACTCAAGCGACGGGGAATACTAAGCACTTTATAGGTTAAATGAAGAAGACAAAAAATAAGGGCTTAGAGCCCCTTATTTTTTCGTTCATTGAAAGATAAAAATCTACAACCCTACTTTTTTGTCTTCTCCGTTCAGCTTACTTTCACGTCTATGTTGCATTGGTTCATATATAACACATAACAAACTTAGAAACGGCATGAAACATTGTGCTCCAATGATTCATGGAGTGTTTGGGTATTCCTAGTCGCTTTAGTGTGTTGTCAGGATACATATAATAATATTCACCTAGACGAATCCAAAAGTTTGACCTTTGTTGATCAGTGTTAATTATTTCATCTTTGTTAATGTTGAACCATGAGCTATACAAAAATATGTCATCTTGTGTTGTCCACCGATTATTCATCAATGCCTGCCTAGTGTTTTTGCTAATGTGTGGTTTCTCCTGCACTACAAGTGGTTGAGTTGAAAACTCTGAAAATTGAGAAACATTAAGGGTGTGTTTGGTTGTGGAAAATTTTCCAGTTTTCTAGGAAAATTTTTCAAGAAAAAACGGAAATTTTGAAAACGCGTTTGGTTCGTTTAGGGTGCGTTTGGTTGTGGAAAAATGTTTTCATTTTCTATGAAAATGTTTTCAGAAAATAGGGTTGAGTTTTCATTTTCAATTTTCAATGAAAACGCGTTTTGTTGGAACGGATGGAGTTTTCATTTTTCATCTTAGAAATTTGGAAAACTATGGAAAACACTTTTCTAATTTACATACAATTTAGAAAACTGAAAATTTTCATTTTCTTAGAAAACTTTGGAAAACTGAACGAACCAAACGCGTTTTCAAAATTTTCGCTTTTCTTGGAAAATTTTCCTAGAAAACTGGAAAATTTTCCACAACCAAAAGCACCCTTAGTTTTCCAAAATTTTCAAAGAAAATGAAAATTTGCAGTTTTCCAAATTGTATGTAAATTATAAAAGTGATTTTTGCAGTTTTCCAAAGTTTTCCAAATTTCTAAAATGGAAAATGAAAACTCCCCCGGTTTCAACCAAACGCATTTTCTAAAATTTTCATTGAAAATTGAAAACGAAAACTCAACTCTATTTTCTGAAAACATTTTCTTACAAAATGAAAACAGTTTTCCACAACCAAACGCACCCTAATATTTCTTACCAGACAAACATGATTCGGTAAAATGACATTTGAAAATTTGGTGGACAGAAGCCGGAACTAAGTGGCTTTGAAATTAAGGTTCATCATGTGATTATTGTACACAATGCACTCGAACAAGAGGATTATATCTTGACTATCATCATTAGGGATATAAGATGAACTTTTGAAGAAAATATAGAACAAATTAAACTGAGGTTTTATGAATCATAATATGATTGAATGGGGGTGGATTTTTGATGAATTATGACTACGATACATATTGTATATATAAGGAAATAAAAATACGTGTCAAAATTCGATGATTTGATTTTGATATGTGTGCCATTCTTTCATCCCTAACATTTAATCAATTTTCATTTTATCCCCTTTAACTTGTGAGTGATTTATAAACTATTCTCGACCTTTTGTTTAAACTCTACTAATCTATATGTTCTTAAAAAATTATACAACTTAAAAATTCATACTTAACATTAAAAGCTACGTCGTTAAAGTTATCTCATGAATATGCTAGAAACGAAATCAATATTGAATATTATTATTGATAATCATTTTATGTTTAAGAAATTAACTTTGGTCAATAATTCGTTAATAAATGTATAACGTTAAACTTTTCCACAATCAAATAATAAAAGGGGTGTAGAACTTCAATAAAAATATATTCCAATGTGGATTTCAAATGCTAACATTATTTTTTCGCATACTTGAATTGATCTACAAGCTCTATCACCTATTTAAATCTATATCGTCGCGATGTGTATGTTAGCATATGGAGTAGTTGCAGATACCGTTGATGAATACTGTGGAATCAATAACGTTGATTCATCATTTCTAAAATAAAAAAAACATCATTTCACTAAAATAGTAACAAATTTTCATATTTGTTCCACCTAATACACCATTCAATGCCAAGCATACATTCTTTCATCCTATGCCTCTGAAATTTCCCAAAGCACAATGTACAACTCAAGGTTGGGATTGAAGCATGTGAAATTTGAACTTGGGTCAATTCCATTTTAAAGTGTTTCACACCAAGTCTTGTTGATGAAGCAAACACAATGTGCACCCCAAAAAGGAATCATGGGTTTTGGTCCATTTCATATTTTCATTGTGTGAATGAAGTGAAGAATGGTTATGTCATCTTAAAAGAAGTCCACGTCATCATCTGATTCTGATGGTGGACCTTTTCGAAGCTTTTCTTGGAGCTCCAATTGCTTTGGCAAAACCAACTCTACCCTCTCCCCTAATTCCGAGAAATACCTCTCCAACACCATCTAACATGAATTTATATATTCCAAAAAAAAAAAACATTTATATGTCAAAATGTTATTTTTTACTATATTAATTTTAAATTAAGGAATACATAATTTAATCAGGTAAGCTACGTATACGAAAATAGACACTTACCATGGCTGCATAAGCATCAAGACTTTGTTTGCGATCCGCTTTGTTGAGGCCCCTAAGAGATAATTATAATTATAATTATTATTATTGAGTTATCAGAAAGATCTTTGTGTAAAATTAAAAGCATAGTGTAGTGATTATGAATAATTAGGTGTTGGCATTTTCACATACAGGTTAATCATACGGTTCATTGCATCTGTAGATGTGCCATGTTCGTCTTGTAAGTATACTCTCCAACCCCTACATAAATGGTTTGTTAGATAAAATGATGTAAATGTAGTGGTTTTTCTGAAAATTTCCCGCAAAATAACATCCTAAAATGTAAATTGTTGTATTTTTTATGAGTTAGATAGATAAAAAGTTATACCTCTCTGCAGCCCAAATGGCTATCCTGCCAGCAACACTACGAACTTTATTAGATTGTGGCGTCTCTTTTCCATCCGATGAAACGGGCAACCCAATAATAAACTCATCTACCTCCTATTATAATTATATTCTTGTCAAAATTCAAGGTCAAAGAAGTCAATATTTGACCGATTCAAGTCAAACATGATATTACTACAAAATGAAGAATGTTGATAGCACAAGGATAACAAATTCATAACTTGATGTATATACACTCATTTCAAAAAGATGGAGATATGTTTCTAGTATAAACATGATGTGCGTTATCCTCTATTGAATATTTGACTTTTGAATGTCAAATTACAATGATGGTTCTTAACTTGTTTTGGTTCAAACAGAAAAAACATATGGTCTATTCAAATCACACCAGTTTGAAGCTACAAAGCTAAATATATATGGATCAGTTTTTGATTTTTAATTTTTAGAATCTGAAGGGTAGAATTTCAATAACCAAGAACATACCTGTTCTTGAGCAATTTCAAGCAGGCCCTTCTCAAGCTTTTGGCCCCTTAATTCTAAAACCTAGAGTAGACGCACATGATAAAATCCAAATCAAAAACCTAAGAACCCATTGAGATTGTGCGAAATAGTTATACAAATTGAAATTAGGTATTAAATTAAGATTCATAAAGACGATCAATGGAAGAAACCTTGAGGGGGCGAACTGAGAATCCTTTGCTTATGGCAAGACCGGTACGAGACAACCCAAGATCAATTCCTAGACTGAATCCACCCAACCACCTGGAATCAAGCTTCCTTCGCATGGCGTTTGGGGGAAAAGGAAAAGGGTGTTCTTCGACGTCGAGTGAGATATCTGCCCTAATTTTTGAAGAACGCACTCGTAGAGAATTGAGATGTTTATTGGAAGGAATAGTGGGTGAAAGTGTAAATAATGTTGGCAATCCATGCGTCTGCGCCATTTGCACTCTCTAGTTCCTGAATCCACCGGATGCGCCTCGACTCTAACCAGGAGGATAATAATATTATGACTGTTCGTAAAAATAACCCTGATCTTTAAAGTTTTAGCATAAACGCCCCTCAACGTTTCTAAACCTTTTCTTTTATGGGTTTTCAAGAAAAACTAAAAGCGACAACAAACACTTCTAGGTGTAAACTGTAAAGTGCATTTTTTATATAAAAGGATTAATAGATTATCACATGAAAAGGGTAGGTTATTTTAACAAAATGTTTAGTTTTTACAATATATCTTTGTTGCAAATTGCAAATTGCTTTTTGAATACCTTCTAAAAAATCGAAGAGAAGCATATATCTTTCACAATTCATATGAACTAGTAAATTCATTAAAATATATATTATTCAATAGGAATGATGATCTATGGTAGCAATTCGCAAAGATATTAGCATAAATTTAGTCATTTGTGTTTGTATGTAGTATAGTAGAAGTAGATATATAGCGTTCAAATTTCCCAAAAATAAATTCAATAGAACAGTAAATGACCCATTCATTGTTCAATAGACCCCGACAGAATTGCAACCCAAATTACCAAATTAGACCCTTCGATTTCAACTCCAAAGCATTCCTTACAATCGGACTCATGCCAAATTAGACCCTTCGATCCCCAATTCTTTATGTATCTGTCTTTCGTTTATTTTTTTGTACATTTCTAGATGAAGACTATTCAAAAAGCAATTTCAAAACTAACAATCGGACTCATGCCAAATTCATGGTCATTGTGTATAAAAGGGGCAAAACACACTCTGCTCATTTTGTTAAATGACTATATACCATTTCGGTATTTTGTAACTATCTTTATAATAATATAACATTTAAATGACAATTGTTGAAGCTTACAAGTATTGTTTTCATTTAAAAACAAGTTACTTATAATCCAAACATTCAACTGTAACACCCTTATTTCATAAAATAACTACTACACAATTCCTACTAAAATATCTATTACCAAGAAAAACAATGTCATAAGTCACTACAACAACACACCAATATTATAATTTAACAACCAACAACTAAACGAGAAAAATATTACATCAATTTAGCTTTTTTTTTACATCAGATGTTACTTATCCCTGCAAAAATATGGGTAAACAACCACCAACTAAATTAAAATGTTACATTGCACACACACACACAAGATTTTATAAAATTAAATAACGACATCATTTAAGAAAAAATCATAACACCATATTTTCTCATGATGCCAATTGTGTATTTTCAGAACCTTGTCTCATGTGACATCGCTCAACAATCTTAGTGAAATCCTCGAGGCTTAGCTGCCAAACATACAGATTTTTAAATTAGTAAAGTTTTAAAATCTTCAAGAATTTAATAAAAAATATTATGGTGAATAAAAAAATAAATTAAGACTACTTGCTAACCTTCCCATCTCCATTGCTATCAAAGAATTGAATCATATCCCCCATCTCTTCATCTGTCCATGTAAAATCATGTGAAGCTGCTACTCTTCTCAAATCCCTAAGACTTATCCCCCCTTTGCCTACTTCTGCAAAAACCGAAAAAAAAAGGGTAATTTTGTCATTTATCATTTACTCGCATTCCGAATCATCTTACAGACTTATAAACCAAAACCGAAATAGGCATAGGAATGGAATTGAATTTCATTCCATTTTCTGCCAATTATACGCGTGATTTCAATTTATGTATATTCCAATTCCTTTAAAAATAAATGAAAACATAAAAAAATATATATAGCTTGTGAAATTACCATCAAACTGAAAGAAGTGTAGAATCAATTCATCCTCTGTCATTTGAACTCGACTTGCAAACTGCTTTCCATAATACCCACAAAAATCAGAATGCAGATGTTAGGTTAAAATTACTTATATACCCTTGACCATCAGTAAGAACAAATCAATGGTGTTGATTCCATTAGTGGTATTCCTCTATTGACATTCATTAAAGGGTATTTTAAGTAAGGTAAAATACATGTTAATGCAACAATGTTTAACATTTTTTCCAATCTATGCAGTATGCAACAAAGTGGTTTTTTTATACGAAAATGAAAAAAAAAATCATTTTAAGACAAAAAGATGCAACATTTTATGGTTTAAGCTAACCACTTGAAATGTGGTTTCATAACTTGTGCTAGTTGTATAAATTGGTAAAAGAAAATGCAACATTATTGCATAAATTGGTAAATAAAAGAAAACATTGTTGCCTGAATAAGCATCTGATTGAGGTCACAGTGTTGCATATTTTAGTCAAAACTTTTACTTAAAGTACAAAAAAAGAAGTCAAACATACCCAGTTTTTCCTCTTCCGATTTCCAGAATCATCTTTACGTACAATCTGCTTTTTTTCGACATTTGATACCTTTGAATCAGATTTTTGAGGAGGCGTTTTGCTCATTACATCCAAAAAACTTGGTGAATCTTGTAGAGAAAGAGCAATGGCCTGCATCCATAGTGTTAAAAATATGATTGAAATCTTTAGGTCAAATGAAAACCACAAATTCATGCAATTAATACTAATAACTTACCTTCATCAAGGCGTCATCATCATCATCACCAACAAAATCCGAGTTTTCTGAAAGCTTTGAAATTTTCTTGCTAGGTGTTGATTTTTTCACCTTTGGCTGAAAACAAGATAAACATATTGTATGTTTAAACTGATAGATATTGTGAAAATTGTTTGTTGCAATGTAAGGGTAAAATGTCATAACACAGTTTGGCTTCTTTGGAGAAGTGAATTATCAAACACTTTTGATTCCCATCTAATTCAACAAACGTTTTTATCTTAAATCTATTTGGAATACTTCTAATGTCTTTTTAGAACTTTTACAAAACATCCATGAATTGAATTTAACCAAACCCACGTCAAAACACTATATTTTCAACCCAAAAAACCACAGTTTCACTTTTGATAGGTCGAACTGTGCCTTTTGAAAACCAACTGAGTTCCATACTTGATTTATTGACTTCTAATTCATATCCTTACCTTTGTTCGAGACATGTGAAATTCATCATCGTAATCGTCACAATCTGATTCACTTGCAGAGCTGAATTCCTCATCCTCAACAGGTGGTTTATACTCCTCATCGTCTTCCAAACCCACCTTCTGTTTGCCCTTTTTGTTCGCGTTTCGAGAAACAGGAACCGTACCCATAAACGAAGACGCCATTTTGTCTAAACCCATTGCTTTCATTCTCGCCTTGTTCTCTTCAATTCTTTTCATTCTCTGTTTCTCGTACTCTGTCATATTCTCGGAACCCCTATTCTCTTTTCTCCGTGGGGTCATATCGGAGCCCGTAGCTTCGGTTTCAGAATCTGATTGATTGGGTTGCTGCATATTGATTGAATTAAGGTATCGAATAGGCTTCTCGACTAAGGTTCGGAGGGATTCGATTGAATTGGGGGATTTTCAGTGTAGGGTTTTATGTTTGTTAGTTTCCGGGAGGGGATGAACGCGGGAATGTTATTAGTTTTTTTTTTTTTTTTTTCGTTTGGAAGTTCTATTCGATCCAATTAAATAAATCAAATTGATTTCGGTTTTCAAAATTTTGATCTGAATTTTTCAAACTAAATTCAAATCTGATCCAATCCAATTCAATTATAATTCGGTTGGATCGGTTTTTGTAGTCGGTTTTTAAAAGACATAACATTTTATAACCATATATAATTATAATATTATCCAATTTTTACAAAAGAAACAAAAACAAATTATTTAATTGTAATTTAAAATTTATAAACAACTACTAAGAAGGTATATTATAATTTAATATTTAATAGATAAAACACTGAAATAAAATGCATATTAATTTTTTTTATTAGATGAAACCTTTTGAACTTTTTTGAAAAAAAATAGGTTATAAAATTAATAAATAATTATAGATATATTAAAAATAAATAAATAATAAATTGTTATTCGGTTTTTTTGGACTATTCGGTTTTTATTTTATAAGCCAAAACCAGTCCGAAATCCAAAATAATAATTCGGTTTTGGTGAAATTCATTCCAAAAATCTGAATATCCGAACCAAATAGTCCAATCCAATTGTCCAATTGGATAATTTGGTTTTATCCAAGTAGTGAAACCCCCTACTTTTTCTACAGTAAATTACGCAGGTCTTCCCTATGGTTTGGGATAATTTGTATTTTTGGTCTTTAAGATTTTTTTTAACTTGGACGGATGTTTTAGTTTTGTTGCGTTGTTGGTCCAACGTGAGACTATTATGCCCTTATGTACTTCTTTTTTAAATTTCTATTATTTTTGTTTACCATTTTTAAATAAAAAAGAAAATAAAATTAACCCACACTCTTCATTTTAGCCTCATTCACCCTCTCCAGTTGTCCTTATACGTCTCTCCCCAAACTCTTTTCTGGCGAGACACTGAATCTTATTTATTCGCATCCTTCGACTACTTTATTGAATCTTTCAACCTTAACCTTCGAATTCTGATGACACCACTGCCACTTTTCTGGTGACCATGCCAGTTTTCGGTCAGAGACACCACTCTCTTCCCCCTTTTCTATTCAAATTTTAAAACACAAATTCGCAGGTCTGTGAGCCAATCGGATCCCCGCCACCTATATACCATATACAAAGTAGATACATAACTAAAATGGATAGATCGTAAAAAAATGCATAGATTGCCAGAAAAACACACAGATCGACGGAGAAACACCCTCAGACGGAAGGAGATCTAGTTCTTCGGAGTGATTTGGTTCCTCGGGTGAAGAACCATTATTCACATACCTGTGTGCGAAGAATCATTGTTCGTTGGAAGGAGATCTAAAGGTTTTCCTGACACACCACTCGTTCACGTCGGAAGATCGGAGGCAAAGAGCATTCTCGGAGCACCACACTTTCACGTTAGGATGTTGAAAAGGTTTTCCACTGGGAACCACCATATTAAGTTGTGATAGTGGTGGTTGACTTTCAGGGGGGAAACGATAGTGGGTGGATAAGAGAGAAATGTGAAATATCATGGCTTTAGAGATACAATGATTGGCGTGAGTTTACAGATGTAGATTGTCAGTCGTTGGTCTTCCGGCGACAGTGGAAGGTGGTGCAAATTAGGGTTCTTCATTGTGTAACACCCGGTCTCAAGTACGCATTTAAATTCAAGTCAAATTCCATATTTTACTCTTGGACTCGGCGAGTTGGGGGCTCAACTCGTCGAGTAGGATCGACTCCGGATCGGGGGATTAAGTGACCTACTCGGCGAGTCGGAAGACAGACTCGGCGAGTAGGAGCTGTCTGGGTAAAACCCTAAATTGGAGGGTTTGTAACCTATTTAAACATCTTATGAGGCTTCCACCCCAGCCTTCATCACCTCCAGAACATTTCACCCGAAACCCTAATCCTCCAAAAGTGAACTTGAGCCTTCTTGGTTGTTTTGAGTGTTTCTTGGTGTGTTTTGAAGCTAGAGCAAGAAGTGGAAGATAGAAGACCCAAGGGAGAAGGAGTAGATCCATAAGCTACACCTTATTTGCCATCTTTTCTGGTAATCAAGCTTACAACTTGGTCTTCTTCCTCTTAGATCTATTTGTCCCCATATTAAGAGGGTTTTGGCCCAAAACCTTGGTCCTTGATGTTTGGGACGTCCCATGTGGTTCATACCTTAGATCTAGGCTCTAGGCAGGAGTACACGGCATAAAGATGCAATCCTTATGGCCATGATAGCCCCATACATCCTATAGACCTCATTTTTGGGTCTTTTGAGCTTAAAGTCCCATGCATGGACGTAAAGTTCATGAATTTACGTGTTATATCGGCTTAAGGAGCCCAGGTCTACCTTTTGGATGAGAGTTGTACATCAGAAATCGAGTTATGGACATGGACATTAGTCGAATCGGCGAGTTGTTCTTGGAACTCGGCGAATCGGGGGTTTGGTTTCCCAACTTTTTATGATTCGAAGGAATCCAGTTAGTCTAGAAGGGATTTAGACGAGCCTAGGGGAAGGACTCAGCGAAATAGACATAGTTATGGACCTGGAAACTATGGGACTCGGTGAGTGTATGAACGTACTCGGCGAGTGTATGAACGTACTCGGCGAGTCCAAGGCAATCTCCCAACCCATGAAGACGGGCTCGACGAGTTGTTCATATAACTCGGCGAGCCGCAGACTAGTAACACTTTCGATGAAGATAAACTCGACGAGTTCAAGGTTGAACTCGGCGAGTCAGTTGAAGATTGTCCCGATATCAGTTGAAGGAGAACTCGTCGAGTTCTTGCTAGACTCGATGAGTAGAGTCGGGTTGGGGGTAAGGGAAAGAATAGGGACTCGGCGAGTTGGCGGGCCAACTCGGCGAGTCGAGTCAACTGGATGTTGACTTTGACCAGGACGATTGACTTTGGTCAGGGGTAAAATGGTCATTATACCCTAGGATCAGTTATCAGTTTGTGACTAAGTGTCTTTATGGAAATTATAGTCGGGGATTCGCCGGAGCAGCAGACAGAGATTTCTCACCGAGAGTTGCAGCAGTCAGTCACACGAGGTGAGTTTTCCTCCAGTAGGAACGGGTCTAAGGCACCAATGTCGGCCCGTTTAAGTAGTAGTGTATGCCAGGGTAAGCCCGATGCCGGGGTTAGCCCGATGCAGTTTATATGTTTCCGGACTTCAGTCCGATGCCGGGGCGGTCCCGAGAAGTAGTTATGTATGTTTGATGTCTTTATGATTCATGCATGTTTATGTGTGATGTGTTATGTGTTCCGGACTCCGGTCCGATGTCGGGCAAGCCCGATGCAGTATATGTGAATATGTTATATGTTATGTGTTCCGGGGTAAGCCCGATGCAGATTATGTGATTATGTTAATTGTGTTTATGATATATGTTATGTGGTGTATGTTCCGGGGTAAGCCCGATGCCGGGGAAAGCCCGATGCCCGATGCGGTCGGATGCCGGGGTGAGCCCGATGCCGGACAGGAGTCCGATGTCGGGTAAGCCGATGTCGGGATTCGTCCCGATGCAGTTGGGAAGAGTCCCAGAGTTACGTTATTTGTTACATGTGTTTTGTATGGTATGTGGTAGTTTGGGGGAGCTCACTAAGCTTCGTGCTTACAGTTTTAGTTTTGGTTTCAGGTACTTCAGCTAGTAAAGGGAAGGGCTCAAGTTGATGGCATGGCACACACACCACAGTTGATTAGCCTGGGAGTTTACTCTAATATTTGTTATGAGACTGTATATGTTTATCAGATTTTATAAGTTTTTGAGATACATGTTTTATGGTTTTACACTATGGCAATGATATCTATGTTTGATAAATGATTTTGAAAACGAAATTTTTGGCCTCGAAATTTGGGATGCTTCAAGTTGGTATCAGAGCCTTGGTTTGAGGGATTCGGGCACACCTTTGGGTGTGTCTGAACTCAAACTAAGGAAGTGGTATAAAGTTTTCAAAAGAAAAGAGTTTTAGAAAAAGCAGAAAGATTTTTTTTTTTTTTTGAAAAGAACTTTGAAAGAGAAAAAGGGTGTGGTGCATGCAATCAGTCGAGCTCAAGTAAGTACTCCCAAATTACCCATACAAGTTTATGCTATGTTATGATTATCAGCTTATTTAGAACATCATGCTAGACTAGGACTAAGGATCTCGGAAGGATGCCTTATGTGCCTGTTATATGTGTTCCAGCTCTATGAGAACTTCATGCTTGTACAGAATTGTCAGTATGATAGCCAGAGTAGTATATGTTCGATTATGTGTACTCGATGCTCGAATGCTGCTTGCTTTGTGCTTTTAGGAGTCTTAGTTACCTATTACTAACCAGTAAATGAATATGTTACGTTACATATTGTGAGGATTAAATAATTCCAGAAGGTTAGGACCAGCTCTATTGCGCAGCTCTTGTTTGAGTCCAACCGTTGTAGGGCAGGATCTTTCATTCGAAGAATGATCTAGTCTTAGTGATATGTAATAGTGTTCACGAGCTAGTTAGGGGGAGGTAGGCGGGACTTCTTGTGCAGATGATAGCGGAGAGTGGGTTGGCGAATTACCCTAGGGCAAGCCTAGGATGAGAGTAGCAGTAGAAGGGACTTGGTGGAGTCAAGGCAGTTCTTGAGGAGAGTACGGATAGATGTGGAAGGTAGTATGGGCCCGTACTACTTAAAGCAGAGGATCCGTACTTGAATGAAGGAAGGCTGAGATAAGACCAGGGAACTCGTAGTAGATATGATCCCTCGAGTTATAATTGTATTCTGACATTTGTCATTATGTGTTTTCGGAATGGTGGTTTTACGCCCGAGACCAGCAGTCGGCAGTTCAGGTGCTGGGGAGGGATCAGGTTCAGGCTCTAGATTTGAGCACTTGGATGAGCAGACCAGGGAGTTTATCTCCTCAAAGATCACGCGTAGCATACTTGAGCAGAATCCTGTGATCTTCGGTTCGATCAAGGAGGGTATTCTGGAGCTTATGGATGAGAGGTTGGTCGTGTTTCACACTGAGGTGGCGACCATGATGGGGTCGCGCACGCTCACGTTCAG